GACAGATGGCTGTCTCTGCGCAAAACTGAAAATCAGAACCATGTTGACCGACAACGGAAAGAACATGGTGTCTGCTCTGCGTCAAGGAAGGTTGTGCCATGCGCATGCATGGCTCACGTGTTCAATCTGGTTGTCAAGCGGTTCCTAAAATCCACCATCCCACTGCAAGACATCCTTAAAATGTCACGTAAACTTTGCATGCATTTCAGCCATTCCTACACCGCAAAGCACACCCTCCTTGAGCTGCAGCGGCAGATCTGCGACGTTGCAACAAGGTGGAATTCAACCCTACATATGTTAGACCGCCTTTACGAACAGCGAAAGGCCATCACCGATTTCCTGATGTTACAAGCGGATAAAGGTACTCCCCTGTGTAACTTAGATGTCAGCCATTGGCAGCTCATGCGTGACACCTGCCGCTTGCTCAGGCCCTTTGAGGAGGCCAGCTATTCGTGAGTCGGCAACACTATGGGATGAACGACGTCATTCCTCTGTTGCACGTCCTGGAACAAATGCTGTTAACAATGGCTGGTCAGGGTGCGGTAGACGTGGCGCACAGATCTCAACGCCACATGACCCCTGTGGGGGCAGGACAGGAAGAAGAGGAGGAGGTAGAGGAGGACATTGGTGCTCAGGAATTATTGAGTGAAATGGGTAGTTTTTCCACTCAGCGGACAGGAGTGGAGGAGCAGGAGCATCTGGTAGAGGAGGAGGAGGAGACAGAGGACCCAGACGCACCGTGGCAGTATGCTGTGGAGATGGAGGCAGGGAGTCCCTCGCATTCCTTGGCACAAATGGCCCATAGCATGCTCGGTTGCTTGCGTAGCGACAGCCGAATAATAACCATCAGACAGAGGGATGACTTTTGGCTGTCCACCTTGTTGGACCCTCGCTACCGTTCAAAAATGGTGGCCTTTTTCACACCTGCTGAGAGGGAGGCCAAAATAACGTACTATAAAAACCACCTATGTAGTCAGTTGGTCTCTGCCTTTCTGCGCCAACGTCCATCCTCAGACACTGTGGGCCCTGTGCGCTCGCGTTCCACTGCCATGGCAGCAGGGGAGGGGTGGGGTGGTAGGAGCAGTGGCAGCTCCACCAGCAGCGGCTGCCTCAGTCTGCAGTCGATGATGAGTAGCTTTCTTCACCAGCGCAGTGAGGAAACTATTAACCAGCCGCAGCAGCAGCAGCATCAGGTGGACCTGGAGCAGGACCTCAAACAACAGGCTTGGGCCTACTTGGACAGCACCCTGCCAACCGAGGTAGACAATCCCCTTGACTACTGGGCAACGAAACTTGACCTTTGGCCCCAACTAGCTGAATTTGCCCTTGAAAGGCTGTCATGCCCGGCCAGTAGCGTGGCATCGGAGCGCGTGTTTAGTGCGGCAGGAGGTATTGTAACTCCGCGGAGGACACGACTGTCCACCCAAAGTGTGGAGAGACTCACGTTTGTGAAAATGAATCAGGCTTGGATTAGTCTGGATTTCAAACCACCAGTTCCTGACACAACTGACTAAATCCGCCATGAATCATGCCCCAAACATGTTATTATTTTTAACATAGGCCTCTGTATGGCCTTCAATTTAAGCTGCTTACGCTTCGCCACTCTGCCATGGGCCCCTGTACCGCCTCCTCTTGCTGCTGCCAGGTCCAGAGTGTCTCATGGATCCCTGTACAGCCTCCCATTGCTGCTGTCTCCATCGCCACACTCTGCCATGTGCCACTTTCAGGTCTCCTCACACTGCTGGTGGGTTCCATTTTGTCATAGGGTGCTGGCAGATTACGGGCCTCTCATTGCTGCTGCCAGGCCCGTAATCTGCCATGGGCCCCCGTACCGCCTCCTCATGCTGCTGCCAGGCCCGTAATCTGTCATGGGCCCCTGTACCGCCTCCTCATGCTGCTGCCAGGTCCAGAGTCTCTCATGGGTCCCTGTACGGCCTCCCATTGCTGCTGTCTCCATCGCCACACTCTGCCATGTGCCACTTTCAGGTCTCCTCACACTGCTGGTGGGTTCCATTTTGTCATAGGGTGCTGTATGGCCTCCCATTGCTGCTGCCTCCACTGCCACACTGTGGCTCCACACTCTGGTTTTGGCCCCGTGACTGCCCAAATGAGTGAAGTGTGCGGTGATTCTAAGATCGACGGCACTCATCTGCATGTCATACTGACTGACAGTATTATTTCTCTTCCCCAGCAGACTCCAAGGGCATTTAAATTAAAGGTACAGTGTTCTGCACTAATATAAAGGCTCTCTGAAGCCTAGAAACACCCTTTTTATAAGTTATATTCGCAGCGAATATATTCGCCTCGAAGCGAATTTATTCCTCGAATTCGCCGAATCAGCCGAATCGAATTTTTGAATACTTCGCTCATCTCTAATGATCACGTTTTCATCTGCATTTTCATGTTTATTTATTTATAATTTTTTTTTCACATTTGTGATTCACATTTTTCATGAGCTGTCATTGAAGTTTATTGGGCCAAAAAGGCACATTGATGCACCAAAAAAAGCATTTGTAGTATCTTTCCTGAAACATGGCCCCATAGCAAACAATGACAATTCCCTTGGCATGTGGCCATATTAGGTCAATGATGTTGTGAGAATCTCCATCCTTTTGTGTATGTGAGGCTGCAGTTTGGGGAATGCTCTGGCCGCAGTTGACTGAGCTCAGAGGTTTTGTGTTCGGGGGGAAATATGTTGTACGGGCAGCACAGTGGCTAAATGGTTAGCACTTCTGCCTGGCAGTAGTTGGATCGTCAGATCAAATCCCAGCCATGGCACCTCCTGCCTGGAGTTTGCATGTTTTCCCTGTGCCTGTGTGGGTTTCCTCCAGGTACTCTGGTTTCCTCCCACACTCCAACGACATGCTGGTAGGTTAATTGGATCCTGTCTAAATTGGCCCTAGTGTGTGTATGTATGAATGAAAGTTTAGAGACCTTAGATTGTAAGCCTGGGGGTTAGGGACTGATGTGAATGTACAATATATATGTAAAGCACTGTGTAAATTGACAGTGGTATATAAGTACCTGGAATAAAATAAAAAAATAATGCACGAGTGGTTAAATGCTGTTGCACAGCAACTTCAGATTTTACACAAGTACAGGGGTTTACAGCCATTCACTTCTATGCCGAGTTGTACACCCCACCTGTGGCTCCCCAGACATGCATTTTTACACTAGGCATATTTGATGCCTGAAAACGACAGTGTGCAAGAAGCCTTGCTGTTAAATCTGTGGAAGATCTCTCCAATACTAGCACAGTAGGCAGCCCAAGATTTCAGGCACAGAGGTTGCAAGTGCCTAAAAAACAGTGGCAAATTCATTACTAAATTAGAGAAAGTCTGATTTGTACTATTTTCTCTGTAACTTTTTTTTGTGCACTGATTTTATATCTACTTAATGCAGAAATCCAGACAAAAATATCAAGATAAAGAAGAAAAGCACATTAAAGATAAGAGATTTCACCAACAGAAATTTTTCTGCATATGCTTGCATTCACACAAGCGATATGGATGCAGGAATCTCCCTTTCTGTACTATTGTATACTGACAGAATAAACTGATCAGCACATTGCAGCTGATTGAATGCAGGTTTTCCAACAGGACCATTTAGCAGAAGCCAATTTAATGAAGGGCTTCTGCTGAATCAAGAAGGTTACACACAGATTAGAATTCAGCCAGGCCCTGTTGAACCAGCAAATTTTCAATCCATGTGTGCCCAGCTTTGGTCTAATGCCAGGCATCATTCAACCAACTTCCTCTGAGACCAGGAGTACCCCAGTCATGGACCCACCCCAGGCTGTGATTAGACAGTGAAAGGTGAAGCAGCACATTGAAGGGATCATCTCTCTGCTCTCCTCTCCTATCAACATGCTTCTTGTCAGTATATGAGCTGATTGGCTCCTTCTGCTGCAGTTGCTTCCTCTAACACTCCAGTCCTGTTGTACAGGGGACTGCAATGCTGATACCAGGTCAAATACAGGCACTTATAGTGCATTTAAAAATACATTTAATGACATATTAATGATTACAGATCTGCATTCATTTGTGTCCTTTATATCTGCCTAGAGTTCAGCTTTAAATATTACTGCAGTCCTATGATTTTCTAGCAACCGTGTCCTGTTAAATTTTATGATGTAACACAAGCAGCAACGATCAGCAGTTTCACCTAATGTGTACAATATTTACTTTATTTCCTATGTATGCTATTAGTCACATTCTTATGACTTAAACGTACAATTTTCACTAAAGCTAATAAATGTCACTGTTCTTCTGGGTGTACTTTACCATGCAATAAAATACTTAGTATGCTAAGTGAAAGTTCATATGGACCTTCATACACAAGGGCTCCCAGGATCTGCATGACTTCAAGTGGCATTCCACCTGGCCTTCAAATACTTATATAGTAGCAGGATGAGGACAAGGAAATGAATGGGCCTGCAGCACAGGACAGGCATTGCAGGCTATGTTTACGGTGCGTCATAGCACAAAACAAAGAGAATGCTTTGCTAAACGCTACTAAGTAGCCAACCCCCTTTAAAGAGATTATGTCACTAACAGAAAAAATGCAGCTTATAGCACTTGATTTTTGTGCACTTATTTTTTATCTACTTAATGCAGAAATCCAGACAAAAATACCAAGATAAAGAAGAAAAGCACATTGCAAGAGATTTCACCAACAGAAATTTTTCGGCATATTCTTGCATTCACACAAGCGATGTGGATGCAGGAATCTCTCTCTCTGTGCTATTGTATACTGACAGAATAAACCGATCAGCGCAGCAGCCATTGGCTGCAGTGGCTGATTGAATGCAGGTTTTTCCAACAGGACCATTCAGCAGAAGCCGATTTAATGAAGGTCTTCTGCTGAATCAAGAAAGTTACACACAGATCAGAATTCAGCCAGACCCTGTTGAACCAGCCAATTTTCAATCCATGTGTGCCCAAAACAAAGAGAATGCTTTGCTAAACGCAACACGTGTGCCCAAAACAAAGAGAATGCTTTGCTAAACGCAACACGTGTGCCCAGAACAAAGAGAATGCTTTGCTAAACGCAAAACGTGTGCCCAAAACAAAGAGAATGTTTTGCTAAAACAAAGAAAATAAGTATTTTTAAACTCTTGCTTTCAGTTTTTTCTTCTTTCCATATGTTATTTTTTATTCATAAAAAAATTAGACTACTCCAGGCAGAATCGTAATTTCCCTAGCACTACCCCCTCCCTCTTTGCACATCAAAGCCCTCTCTTCTTCTAGAAGTGTCTAATTACTTTTTGTGTTGGTCCAGCTCCTTCAACCCTTTATATATAATCTTTATGTATCAGGTGTCGAGGGGGGGGGGTCAAAGTGGATTACTATAGAGCAGCCATACTCAACCAGGATTATGTGGAACCCTAGGGTCCCTACAGAGATTGTTAGGGGTTCCTTGAGCTGTGGCGGATTGACCTCCCATTTGATGGTTCCTGCATAGTTCCAGGGTCAATACCACTTGGCAGAGCTGGACACCAATGATCTTTTTAGCTGTCTGTAAGGGCACCACTGTAAGAAAGGTATTCTTCCTATTGATCATCCATGACCACCAAAGTAAGCAGTAGTTTTCCTTTTGATCCCCAATGATTTGGTTTTAGCTGAGAATTTCTGAGACCTGCAAAGTTTTTTTAAAGGTGGTTTCTCTGGAGTAAAAGGTTGAAAATGGCTTTTAGACAGTATTACTTCTGTGACAGGCCTACAGCTCCTGACATCACATCCAAGATGGTGGTGCCCAACAGCAGTCTCAAGCCTTTATGGTGTCTAAACAAGGGAGGCTTTTACAGGTAAATAATATGCCTACAATATGCTATGCTGTGCTACACATGTAGGTTTTGGTAATGTGCTCCAAGTGCCCCTTTTTTAGTCCATGTGAAAAATGTTTTTTTCTACAACATTGGAATTGGGAAATGTGTTTGTTAGCAGTCTCTCCAGATAGTTCCAGTTTTGTCATATGCTGACATAAGTTGCCAAGATCCATTACTCTTGTGAGTCTTCTATTTTCTAGAGTACTCCAGTGGTGAAATTTCCCTGCAATCATTTCTTGTGCCGCTCCCCCCTTGATTTATTAAGGTACCCATAGGCATAAGTTGACAGTCTATTGATTTGGCCATTTTTTATACAGATCTGATGAAGATATCAAGGAGCCCATAGACACTACATGACCTTTTCCTGATCCAGCCTTTTTTCGGCTGGGTCGGGCATCATGTTGGGTACTCATGTGATAGCACCTGATGAGTTATCTTTGGGAATAAAATGATTGGACATGTTAGGTAGGCCATAGATAAGTCAAAACCGAATGTTCCATTGATCAAAAAACTAAAATAGCTCATCATTTGCATGTTGGATCAGGCACCTTCCATTGCGGCACAGCTGGCACACTAATGATGCGAAAAATGAACAATTTTACATTTTCGTTCGGTTTTTGACTCATCTATGGCTAGAAAACCTTATCTGATTTCTATTGTTTTACCTACATGGCTCCTCCTCACTTGCCCTATACAGAAGTGTTCATTTAACTAGAGCTCCCATGGTTTGTGTAAATTTGATGTAGTTACACTTGTATTGTAGTTTTCCTGTCCAAGTCACCTGCACCTGATTCAGAGATATCACTGATTCTACGGCCACTTATCAAATTCTTGCTTGGCCAGGCACATGTATGCTCTCTGCACTCCCATTTGCTCCAATAGAGCTTCTGAGTATGAGCTAGTGCTCTGGAATACCTTTTCACAGGAATGCATGGGAGTGCAGAGAACACGCGTGGGTTCCACACATATTGATAAGTGGCTGTGCAGTCTAGTCAACATCTTGCTGCATCGGTGACATCCGAGTATGACTGGGAGGAGGGCTGAAGGAATCAAAAACTATTAGGGGACCAGCCACAGACACCCAAGAACACTTGGATATTGCCTGGCCCCCTTTTTTTATTGATGACCAGGTTTAAGCCAGCCATAGATGGTTTGAATCTTGGATGGTTCAGCAGGGACCAGAGGATATTTAAACCATTTATGGGCAGGCTGACTGTACCCAAGTCAATTGTTGTACGACTTACGTACAACTAGTATGTTGGATTTTGCATGCAATTATTGCCAGCGGCTATTATAACCACTAACAGTAATCACTATGTTCTCCTGGTGCGAGAATGAGATCTCTTCATATAACAAAACACAAAAAAAATAATGCACATACATCATCACCTGAGATGGAAATAATCACCCAGGGG